GGTGTTGAGATTGTGGATTCAGTGGAATATATGTTTTCTAATATTTGGTGGTTTGTGAATTGATTTTGATAGAGTTCCTGGTTCCTCTCGCACGTTCGACAAAATGTCTCATAGAGCTATTTCCATCCAAGATTACACAGAGTCAAGTATGTTTTTTGTGAGGATCTGATTTTTTTTGTTCATTTTGTTGTATTTAAACAATTCCATAGACATGAACTAATTTGCTATTTTTTGCGATTTTGTTATTTGTTATGAAATGCTCTCCAATCATGTTAATTGGCATAATCGCAACGTTCATTTTCTTAGTTTATCCTTTTAGTAATCTCCCTAAATGATCATTCTTAGGTGAGTGTACAAATCCAACCTTCCACTCTAATTAGAATTCAATTTGAATTTCATGCTTGATTTTTGCAACTTCCATGTAAATAAATGGGTATGTAATCTTTTGCTCACTTTTATACATGAGTTGATTTGTTGCTAATGCCTAACTGCACACATGTATGTGTTAGTTGTTGTTTGATCTATGCATTTATGATTTCTCCGTATGTTTGTGTCAACAATTGAGTGACCAAAATAACAATAATACATTGACTTGAAATATGTTTGCCAATAAATGTAAGTTGACTTGATTCATGGACTTTTCTTCATTATAGGGAAGAATTTGTCAGAGTTTTATGTACATGCATTCGTATTTAAGGTCCCATTCTCAATTACAATGTAATCTAAAAAATTTGTTGCATACAGATTTTATCTGCATTCTAATGTATCATTTGGCAGGGGCACATATCGGATTGGATCATGAAATTGCTAACCTAGCAACAATCTTGCTGCATATTGGGTATCTCTTACTTCTTGACCCGTAAGTTCCCTATATTGCCAATGTTATATTACAGCGGTCACAAAGTATATTTTTTTTTATAAGCCTTTGTTGTTTATTATTTATATTTTTTAAGCTTTGGATGGTTGGTTAACCAAACATATTCATATATTTTTTAAGCTTTGGACGTTTGGTTAACAAAATTTTACTATTCATATTCATGATTTTTGGTTGGTGTAATATCGGCTTCTACCAAAAAAAAAAAAAAGAGATGTCAAGGAAATTTGTGGTGGGTACTAGAGTGACGATGCGTATAAATTGTAAATCATGAAATTTGCATTACCTAGCGAATACTTTACCTTCTTGAGGTCAAGGGTTCAAGCCCCCTTCCCTTCTCTCCCTCCAAAAATAAAATAAAATAAAATAATTTTTTTTTCCCTCAATTGCAAGATATTTTGATTCCATTGATTTTGGATGTGTGTGTAGAGGAATTGGGTGTTCTACTATACAAGTTTTCTTAGTAAAGGGTAGCCAAATATGTTGTTTGTTTGGTGAAAATAGCTCATTTATAATAATAAAAAGGAAATATACAATTACAGTTCTTTCTGTGGCAAAATGTATTGTTGAGTTTGGAGTGCAATACTTAGCTCTGATTGTGTGAATGAATTCTTAAGTGTTAAATTTTGTTTACTTTTGCCGATTTGCAAGTATTTTCTTTGTTAGTGTCCGAAATGGGGCTTTTCGCTCCCCCCCCCCCCCAAAAAAAAAAAAAAAAAAAAAAAATACTTTTATTAGCTTGGTACAAGAGATTTGTGCTATTTTTTTTCAATACATTTCAAGAAAAATGATAATATTTCTTATGTTCCTCAGTATGCATTGTTTGAATCATTAATGCTAGAAAAGGAACAATGGCTCCTGATTTGTTTATTTCTATTATATCATGTTGCTTGTGGTAATTGGTAAATGATTGTATTAAGGTCGGAATGTAGCGTGATAGTGAGTTTAATAATTGATTTAGGTCTTGTTTTTTTAAATATAAGTTATTTTTAAGAATAATTAGGTATATAACAATTACTAGCATTTTAAGGTATAATGATTAAATATATAAATTATGTACCGGTTGATATTTTTTAGGGGTCATATTTTTAGAGAAAATTTTGTTAATTTTTTTTAGAAAATAGTGTTTTCAAATTGATTTTGAATTGTGTAATTTGACGAGCTCAGATCTAGATCAGGCCAAGACTAAGTTCATGGGTTGAGCCCAAATTATCAAAAGGCAGACTAGATTTAGCTTTAAGCCTCAGTCTAATTCGAAGTTCGAGTCCAGGAAAAGTCAACGCACGTGGGAGAACAATTATCGGAATACCATTACTCCAAGATAGTGGCTATCCTCAATTGTAGCTATCCTCCTCGATAAATTAGAAGTTTGACCTTTATATCACCACCTCAGTTAGGGTCCTGTGCCTATAAATTGTTAATCCCCTACACAGGGGACACACACTTCACCTTGAGCGAACTCTTGTTCTCTCTCTCTCTCTCCTAGTACCTTGTACTCTTTCATTAATAGAATTCTCCGGCTACCGTTGCCGCCTTTAGTGGTTAGGTCACCCAACCCTAACCAACAAATCTTTGTCTCTTATTATTAGTTGCTTCATTAATTGCTTTAGACCACACATTCGACTGATTTGATCGTGCATAATCAACATTGTGCATCATCAGTTTTGCGTCATCTGTGGGAACCGATTTGATTCTCACCCTACAATCTTTCTACATTCAATGATAATCACCATCAAATCCATGAACCACCAAGCGGAAGATGACTCACAACATCACGACGATGTCCCGCCACCATCGGCAAACCCCATTATGAATCCCAACTGTTAGAGACCATGCAATAGCTAGTTAACTAGAACTGGTAGATCCTCATGCTGGGAGTCTTTAGGGAGCCGCCTCCCAACATCAAGGAGGAAGGGAGCCCTAGGCATCTCAACTTAGCGCTCCCCTAATGCCAAAGGCCTCCTGTTACCCAGCTTCATAGGCCTGTTTACTTCCATATTGTTGACCCTTATTTTGAATAGGATGAGCGGAAAAACCGGCATGGGGACCATGAAAGCTACGTGAACAACCCCACTTGTGATATCCCCAACCATTGAGACGAGAAAATCAAGGAAGTACAAAACAAACTCGTTGACATTTACAACGCTATGAAGGTGCGAGGGCTTGAAACGGTTGACTACCTTGTGAGGCGTACCAACATGCCCTTCATGCTTGATGTAGCCAACTACCCTCTTCCCCCAAAGTTCAAGATGCCAATCGTGGAAGCTTTTGATGGCTCCAAAGATCCACTGAACCACTTTGACACCTACAAATCCCTGATGCAACTGTACAACATATCAGACGAGATCATGTATAGGATTTTTCCTACCATCCTCAAGGGATCTGTTCGCCAGTGGTTCGCCAAGCTTACCCTTGTTTCCATTAATTTTTGTGCTAAACTAAGTAAGTCCTTCGTCTCATACTTCATTGGGGGACGCTGACACTAGAAGCTTATCACCCACCTGCTTAGCATTAAATAGGATCAGGACGAAAGCCTNGCTTACCCTTGTTTCCATTAATTTTTGTGCTAAACTAAGTAAGTCCTTCGTCTCATACTTCATTGGGGGACGCTAACACTAGAAGCTTATCACCCACCTGCTTAGCATTAAATAGGATCAGGACGAAAGCCTAAAGAGTTACCTCACTTGTTTTAATTAGGAAGTCCTCCAGATTGAAGAACCAGATGATAAAGTCATCATGGCGGCCTTCACAAAAGGCTTGCGCTCATCCAGTCTTTTGTTTTTAGTCTTGAAGCGCTTGTCAAAGTACATGCTTGAATTACTATAAAAATCCAAGAAATACATGAATGCTGGGAATGTCTCCAAAGCAAGGCGAGCTAAGTCCTCACGTGAGGGGAATACAAAAAGTAGACAAGTGAAAATTCTACTTCACTAATTTGTGGTTGAAATTCAAATTTAGTGAAAAACTAGCATTTTTTAGGAAAATTTGGTGCCCAAACTTTCGTAGGTAATTTGATTTTGGTAGATCTCGAAAAAATACCTAGATTCAAATTTTTTTTTGCCTCAAACGGACAATTGAGCGCAAAGTTAGGGTCGTGCAAAGTTTTGTCATTTCTTCAGGATTTTCTAATACTCCTCTTAGTGCCAGCGAGCCCAACGCCCACGCGCTCAGTGCTAACACACATGCGCCCAGCCTTACGGTGCCCAGCGGCGCCTAGCGCGCCCAACGTTCAGTGGCGCCCAGTCTCGCAGCACCTGCCTCATCCCCATTTGGGCGCACTGCCCGCATCACGTGCCTAGCTTGTCTAGTAATGCCCTTGGTGCTCGGCGTCCCCCCTCTTGGCGCATCAGGAGGCCTCGCCTCCCTCTTCCTCTCTGTCTCTTTGGGAGGGAGCCTCCTGAGTCCCCAAAAGCTTGACTTAACTCTTCGTCTGCTCTCACGCAAGCAGCCTCAATCTCCAGTTTAGTGGCTATCTCATGAGTCGCTAGAAGCTCGGCTTAACTTTGACTCTGCTCTCACGCAAGCAGTCTCAATCTCCAACCAAGTGGCACTCTCGTGAGTCGCCAGAAGCTCGGCCTAACTTTGCTTTTACTCTCATGCAAATAGCCTTAGTCCCTAGCTTAGCGACTCTTTTACGAGTCGCCAGAAGCTCACCAAACTCTGTCTCTCCTCTCATTCAAGCAACCCCAGTCTCCAGCTTAGCGACTCTCTCACGAAAAGCCATACGCTTGGCCTAATTCTGTCTCTACTCCCATGCAAGTAGCCTCAGTCTCCAACTTAGTGGCTCTCTCATGAGTCATCAGAAGTTCGGCCTGACTCTACCTCAAAAGATAGAGAATTATCTCCTTTGTGGGTCAATGAAAATTATAGAGGCTATGCCATAAAGCAGTTATATTTGGTTGAATACCTCAAATGCTTACATTACATCAAGAAAGAAAAAGAAAAAGGAGAAAAAAAAGTGACATATAATCTATATACTGCTTTTCTTGGTTAGTCTCTAGTAGTTTGAGAGCCAATACTGTTCTATAGACCCTATGCTACTTTACCATAATCCCCATCAAGCACCTCTAATAACAAATTATATGGTTTCTTCTGCTTGGTAATGTATTCTGTTTCCTTGGCCTTATCACAAATCAAATTTGCAGGGATCTGCCTCAATCAACAACTGAACAACTTCACTCATGGTTGGGCGAAGGGCTGTGGTGCCACATGTGCAACGGATGGCAATCCTGAGTACCTTGATCATCTCATCCTTGAACAACCTTGACGCTTGCTTGTCTAAGGCCTCCTTAGCTCCTTCTTTCGTCTTCACTTTGGTTGAAACCCCATATATGATATTCTTGTTCTCTCCAAACTCCGCCTCCACAGGCTTCTTCCCGGTTATTAATTCCATGAGTATGACACCAAAGCTGTAGACATCACACTTGGTTGTTGCCTTAGAAGAATACGCATATTCTATCACATGCACGATGAAAGAAACATTAGGCTGATATTTATATCTAAATTGACCAATAAAAAAGGTCTAAATTATAATCAAAGAATATAAATAGTAATTAAGTTAAGTTCTAAAACATTATAAAATATATTGCACACATAGGGATGTTCATTTTTGTGGAATCACAGTGCAAGATAGTATACATAGAGAGCCAATGTGCGACCAAATAAAAATCAGATCTATGCAGAATCCTTTACAAAATTGTGTGCAATTGCTAAAATATGAATGTGCCACAGATATTTAACTATTAGTTTGTAAGTATACTAGAGCTGAGTGATCAGAAAATTACCAGGAGCCAAGTAACCAAACGTTCCTGCGATAGCAGTAGTGGTGGAATCCTTTCCCACTCTTGCTTGTAAAAACTTTGGCTATGCCAAAGTCCGCAACTTTTGGCTGATATTCGACATCCAGTAGGATGTTGGTCGACTTGATGTCTGTGTGAATAATTGGTGGCAAGAGATCATGGTGAAGATAAGCCAAACCCTGTGCAATCCCCAAGGCAATCTGATGACGAGTGGGCCAATCCAAAAGGATCTTTCTTCTGTGAAGTGCATCCCAAAGGTTTCCATTTGGCATGTACTCATATAACAAGCTGCAATCCAAACTGGAGAAGTAGCAATACAATTTCACAATGTTCTTGTGCCTTATACTTCCTAGAGTCTCAACCTCAGTTTTCAGTCCCTTGTCTAGGAACAATTCATCATCAGAAACAGAATCTTTAGCTTTCCCACTCCGGAGCTTCTTTACAGCTACAACTTCCCTGTTCCTCAACTTAATTTTGTACAGTGTCCCAGATCCTCCATACCCCGACTGTTTTCTTATCAACCATGGCCTCAATGATCTCATGTTGATCAAAACTTAAACGATGGTAAATTTTGACGTCATATGGGAAAAAGGAAGCTTTTTCTTTACTAAACCGACGGTTTAGAAATAAGATAACTCCAACAATAACAATTGCCAACAAAATTCCTATCACCCAGATGTAGTTTTTCTTCTTATGGTTGTAAGTTTGTGAACATATGGGGATATTGGGATCTGATGACTTGAGATAGACAGGAACGCCATTATGAAAATCTGGTGGAAATGATTACGCATAGGGTGTTAATCGAATTGAGCCTTTTGAAATTGGTTATGCTAAAGCTCAGCTTGTAATATTCAAAGATTGCTCAAATCGGATTTGTGCTGAGCTCAAGACAAAAATAAGTCATTCAAAAAAAAAATAAAAATAAAAATCTACAAATTTCAAATATTCAATCAAAAAATTTGACAAAAAATGTACACATTTTAAAACAAATTTGTGCATAAAATACCTCTAAATCACAATAAAAACATACAAACTTAAAGTTTTTTTGCTAATTTTACTGAAATAACTTGAAGATCTGTAGTAATTTTTATATATATGATGTATAAGTAGGAAAAATGGACCCGCTTACAAGTTGTTCGGGCTCGGCCCAAATATTAAACGAGCCTAAAAATTTGTTTAGATTTGATTTATTTTATAATGTAGATGAGCTGACACCGAATTAAAATTGAGCCGAGCCGGAAGTCTCATAGTAGAAGTGGTTGGCTACTTTCACTTGGAAAATTGTTAAGAGTCAATGTGTTAATTAATTAGCCACGAATCTTTAAATGTTTATTTAATGTTGCGTTTGCCCACATCGCAGCCCATTATAGCAGGTTATTATTCTCTTAATCTTTCTTGAAAGAAGAGATTAGGAATTTGCTTTAGAGACTCGATCCATAATCATAATTTCAAGTATAATACTTCATAATATTAAGAATAATGCTATTTAAATATAATTTATTGGTTTAATTTGTTGATTAAATTCGCTATAATAATTGAATTGACTATGAGTTTCATCAAACACTTGGTACTAATTCAACGGTAACAATAAAATTATATCATTAAATCAACAAATTAGATCAAATTTTTAAATTTAAAAAGGATTAAATTAAGATTCATATTTAATCTCAGGATGGAATTGGCACTCTCTCCCAAGTTTTATTGGACTACATTTTTCTAAAGTAGTAATCATGAATTCCGACTATAAAAAAGGCATAGAAGAAGTGTAAACTAGAAAAATGCAAAAGAGTTCGTGGTGAGTTATGTGAATGCCATATCAACTTGGGATGATGATGATGTTGATGGTGGTGCCACATGTCTTAGAATTTCTTTTGGAAAATAGAAGTTTAATGTGTGTTAAGGTCGGACATGATGCGTTGACGAATGTTCAAATTTTTGTTTTTTTTTTGAACTGTAGGTGTTTAGGTTTGTTCCATTGAACTTAATGACTGGTTATCGTAATTTGAGCTGAGTTAGACATGTTCTTAAAAGGATAAAGATAACTAACCCTTCTGAGGTATGAAAAAGGGTGGAACCTGATACCTTTAACTTGCTAAATGTCAGTTCAACCATTGAAACACAGTAATTACTACGGTGAGACCTATGGCGAGGGCGGGAGGAGTAGCGACGTTTCATCTTTTACTCCACAGAGCGAAGAAAAATCTTAAAATTAGGGGCAGGAAGAGTATATATAGGAAGGAGGAACCCTAAGGATATGGACAAACTGAATCTCACAGTCGGAATGGTTCAGGCAGNTTTTTTTTTTTTTTTTGAACTGTAGGTGTTTAGGTTTGTTCCATTGAACTTAATGACTGGTTATCGTAATGTGAGCTGAGTTAGAACATGTTCTTAAAAGGATAAAGATAACTAACCCTTATGAGGTATGAAAAAGAGTGGAACTTGATACCTTTAAATTACTAAATGTCAGTTCAACCATTGAAACACAGTAATTACTACGGTGAGACCTATGGCGAGGGCGGGAGAAGTAGCGACGTTTCATCTTTTACTCCACAGAGCGAAGAAAAATCTTAAAATTAGGGGCAGGAAGAGTATATATAGGATGGAGGAACCCTAAGGATATGGACAAACTGAATCTCACAGTCGGAATGGTTCAGGCAGATGTGATTGACAGTCTTCCCAAATTCACAGTAGTCACCTCCAAATTCACAATAATATTAATTTAAGATTAATATTTAATCTCATGATGGAATTGACGCTCTCTCCCAAGTTTTATTCAACTACATTTTTCCAAAGTAGTAATCATGAATTCCAACTATAAAAAAGGCACAGAAGAAGTGGAAACTAGAAAAATGCAAGGACTTCGTGGTGAGTTATGTGAACGCTATATCAACTTGGGATGATGATGCCAATGGTGGTGCCACATGTCCTAGAATTTCTTTTGGAAAATAGAAGTTTAATGGAAGTAGAAGTTCGACATGAAGCATTGACAAGTGTTCAATTTTTTTTTTCACTACAAGGTGTTTAGATTTGTCTATCTAGCTTAACTGTTGATTATCATAACTTGAACTAGGTTAGAACATGTCCTTAAAAAGATAAAGGTGACTAACCCTTAAGGGGTGTGAAAAGGGATGTAATCTGAGATCTCAAAATTACCAAATGTCAGTTCAACTACTGAACTACCCTTAAGGGTTGACAAGTGTTTATTCAACAAAGTGATGAGTAATGGATTTGAGTTCAAGAATCAACATCTTCAAAATTGGGTAAGAATGTTTACCATTTTTTTCTCTTCCAAATCATGTTATAAGTGGCAGTTTTATGTAACTAATATAACATTTTAGAAAATTAATGTGCCAATTGGTTATTTTTACATTGGAGATGACAATAAACCTTTTAAATGAAGTATAAGAATATTGTATTTGGCTACGCCATAGTGCTACTAACTCCCTTCTAAATCGTTTAAAAGTCATACCCACCTTGTATTCTTAGGAGACTCCCATGAATGCAATTAGATAGCAAATATTTTGAGTAGGTAATCTAAATTCAACTCAAGTTAAAATCAAAATATTTAGTATTTGCGTAAAGATGCTTGCAAAAAAATCCTAACCTCATTTCAATTTGGGCAATACTCGACTTTGGGTCTTGTGTTTTTAAGACCCAATTTGAATTAATAAATCGGTGTAAATCTTAACTAAACTCAAATTTTAGCTCAAATTATGCAATAGTAGTCAAATTGAAATTAAACTCAAAAATTATTCTCTGTAATTCCTGCTACTTTGCTCTCCGCCAATAGAGCTCTCCTCTTTCCTCTTCCTGTGGAACTCCCCTACTGAGCAGTGACATTGCTCTACCTATTCCGAGCCTCTGTTTATTATCCTCAACCATATATTCCTAAGCTTTCATTGATACCCAGCTCCCATTATGTCCATTATTCTCTGCAACCCTTGCTACTCTGCATAACCTTGATACTGCACATCCACCTCTTCCCTGCACAACCTTACTCATCTCCCATCAATCTTCCGCAACTGCCCATAAGTCTTCATCTCACATCCCATAGCTGCCTATCTAGCCATCGCCCACCTACAACAACCATCTTCTTCCCCATAACAATCCCTTTGTTCTTCTCACATACCAACATCAACACCACGAACAACTCAAAGGGAGAGCCCCCAACTAGTGAGCCACTTCGAATAAAACTCCTCCCAGATTCCAACATTTCTGCTATTCTCAATCACTCTTGCCTGGTGGGCAAACTCTACTCTAGCAAAAAAATAAACAAGATTGCAATCAAGAATGTCCTGGAAAGGGCATGGAACTCCACAAAGAAAAATCCAAATTAATGAAGGGGAGAACGACACCTTCATATTTCTTTTTCAAGATGAAGAACACAAGCTCAGAATCCTCAATCAAGCACCATGGTCGGTAAAAGGGCAACTCATGGTTTTGAAGCAATGGATCCCAGGAATCGCAATTAATGAAATTAATCTCAACTCTTCCCCATTTTGGGTTCAAGCTCATGGGGTCCTTCCTAAAATGATAACCAAAGAGAATGCCCTAAGGATTGCTGAGGCTCTAGGCTGACCAGTTCTTGTAGAGCAACTGTTCCATCAAAAAACCAGATGAAANCTCCTGAAATGATAACCAAAGAGAATGCCCTAAGGATTGCTGAGGCTCTGGGCTGACCAGTTCTTGCAGAGCAACTGTTCCATCAAAAAACCAGATGAAAAAACTACATTCGAACTAGAGTTGAAATTGATTTAACAAAACAACTCCAAACCCACTTCTGGTTGCCAAAGAACGATCGTCCAAACAAGCTCATCATTCTGAAATATGAGAAGCTTGGAGATTTTTGCTATATGTGTGGGATAATCGGACATGAACAGAATAATTGCAAAAATACACCAAGCTTGGGAAATAATATGAAATACGGTCCTTATCTGCATGCAACCCCATGGAAATCATCTAAGGCACTAAAGCAGCCGAAAAACTCATCACCCCCACCACTCCAGATGGAGGAGGAGGCGTGTGAAACCCACTCAATTCAAGCAAGTGGACCCAGCAAATTCTTAGATACACTACCTGATCCGAGATCATGCGTCGTGCTCACACCTCTGTCACCAATAGACTCTGCAAATGCTCCACGTGGCAAAGCAAGAATGGATTCGAACGCAACTAACTCGGAGGAAATGCTTTCAGCCATTGTGGTACAAACCACACCACAAAACCCTAATTCATCCCACCCAACAAGTATACAAATGAACCCAATCCTTGACCCAAGTATAGACTGTATGCTAGCCCATCATACCATCCTATCAAGCCCAAGAAGAGATGACACATTTTCTCTCTCTAACCCAAGTATAGCCTGTTTCCTAGATCAGTACATAAACCCAATAAATCTAATAGCCCAAATAATAGCACAACCCATACCCTCATCTAAAGCCCTCGCTCATGAACCAACTTAGATCACAGCACAGTCTCCTTATCTTTCCCATATGCAGATCAGAGGCAAAAACTTCCATCCATCCGCAGGGAATACTCACACCTCAACCAATGTTTTACAACCTTTGTTTTCAACCACGGATGCTCCACATAAATCTAAAAACTCGTCGTCTTTAATCATTTTCCCACCTCTTCACAATCAGAACACAAAGCACATCTCTATCCCCTAAAACTTTTTGAATGCCATTGATGAGTTACTTGCTTCAGTTGTAAATAGGCTGTCCCTGAAACGCAACCGTTTTGAAGATCCAGAAGTGAGAAGACACTCAAAAGTGCGTAGGCAAGAAGATGGATCACTCATGATCCTCCCTCATTCAGGATCTGTGAGTCATCGAGAGCATGAGAGAAACACCTCCCCACATGCTGACACTAGCATCGACCCAGAAAATGGCTTGTGCTTGCATTTCCCTACCAACACTGAACAACATTGCTTTAGTAACCAAAGGACTTATCGACGATTCACAACAAGGAAAACAGTCAGAGGCGTTGTTGAATGCCCAACAAAAGACCTTCAGGAACTTAAGTTTGAAGTCTCAGAGGAGATATCAATGGCTGAGGAGGCGGGCCTTACCATGCCCCCAACCCAGTTATGATTGGCTATGTTTGGAACTGTCGTGGTTTAGCTCACACCTCGACAGTTCGTCATCTAAGGGAGCAAATAAGGGAACTGAACCCAGATTTTATTTTTCTCTCAGAAACAAAAATAGATGAAGTCAAGACAGGTAAAATTATAAAAAGTTTGGGATATTTTAACTCTAAAATACAAGCCTCAAAGGGACTAGCAAGAGGATTATGCCTTTGCTGGAGAAAGGATTTTGATGTGCAAATTATGTTGTCCACTCCATTTATAATCTCAACTCAGCTGCCATGTGAGCGCACTGATAAAGAATCACTTTTGAACTGTGTTTATGCCATTGCTAACAGAATGCTGCAGAGCAAATTATGGGACACTATTTCGGAGATTAATGAAGAGTTCCAAGGTCCATACTTGTATATTGGAGACTTTAACAATGTAACATCCCAAAGGGAAAAGAGGGGTGAGAGGCCTTTTGCAACCCCATCCAATGGTGGATTTGGCGAATTCATGAATGCTTAGGGGTTGATTGACCTAGGATACGAAGGCAATCCTTTTACATGGTCAAATAAGAGAGAAGACTTGGCTAACATCAAAGAAAGGCTTGATAGAGGTTTGGTCAACGCTGACTGGAGACTGCTCTTCCCAAGGGCCACTATTAAGCATCTCCTAGCAATAGAATCAGATCATAATCCCTTATTACTGAACACACAAGGAGACAAAAACCCCTTCCCTAAGCCTTTCAAATTTGAGGTTATTTGGACAAGAGACCCAACCAGTCACCTTGTAGTGCAGAATTCTTGGAGAACAGAGAAGAGAAGATCCTTAGCATTTAGATTCTATAGGAAAATGCAAGCAACCAAAGAATGTTTAAAGAAATGGAATAGAGAAAAATTTGGGAACTGCATTCAGAGAGCCAAGGAACTCAAAGCCCAAATAAATACCCTGCAACAGCTTGACCCAACTCCAGATAATTTGATGGAAGAAAGAATCCTTGCAGCTGAGCTAGCCAAACAGTTTAAGAGAGAAGAAGACTTGTGGAGGCAAAGATCAAGAATCCAGTGGCTCAAAGAAGGTGATGCTTGTACAAAGTTCTTCCATAATTCCACAGTTATTAGAGAGCGGAGGAACTCCATTGACTGCGTTAAGGCACAAGAAGGCAATTGGATCACAGAAAGGGAAGACATTGGTAATATTTTTTTCAGTATATTTTTGAGATCTATTTACTTCTGTTGATCCTCAATTCCCAAATGACCTAGAACAACTAATCACACACATAGTTAAACTCGATGATCAC